CACGGTGTTAGGAAAAATAAATTTGCAAGGTTTTCTCTCCTGTTAATACTGCAGCAGTAATACAGGTATAATGAGTGAGGTAAAACGTACTGTCTGCTTCACAGAGATAGAATAATTAGCAAGTTTTAGTGATTCAGTCAGATTTTAGTCTTGTGAAAATTATATTCAGAAATTGTAACTGGCAGTAACGTGACAGTTAAACAGAAGTCTCTTTTCAGATTTCCTCATACACCTGCATAGCAAACTGTTGGGAAAAGGTTGAAGCAAAAGCATTGTGGAAGTCGCGATATGTGATAAGCAGGGATGCCAATTTACTGGTTTAATTTAGACCTAAAATGTGCCAATCTATTGTACAAGCTGATCTATACAGATAGATCTCTGAACTGAATGGATATTCATTTAAGAGATTATCCCCCGTGGATTAGTTGTAGGGATTAATATGTGCAATAAATTTTGTTAGGAATGGGTTTCTGACCTAAACAAATGGCAGAAAGTAATTAGTCTTTGGTACAGTATCCAACACAAGGTATACATGCATAGCACCCCAATTTATTTTGATTTTTTAATTATTATTTTAAGTTGCCATCATTGTATCTTTTCATTTTTTTAACAGTTGTTACTCTCTTCAAGATTAACATAAAACAAAAGAAAAAGGTAGCAATATTAATTGTATTGTGAAGGCATTTTTGTTGTTAGATAACTAGATGTTAGGAAAGTGGGTTTGTTTTGTGTCTGCTGCTATCGAAAGAATGCAGAGGAAACTGAACTTGGCTCTGAGTGTTGTATATTCTGAAATGAATATATTGAGTAAATATGATTTCAGTGGTATGTCATTGTTTGAAAATTTATAATATCAAAGCTTATTCCGACTTCAGAATTTCAAGAGCGAAATGTTGTAATAACAGCCTTACACTAGCTGGACAAAACTATAATTCATAACAACCTCTATTTTATATAAACAGAGTTCTCAGATGCTCAGCAGGCTGTTTTGGAATTTGGGACAGGAACCTGTTATTCATACCTACATGAAACAAGAAAAGTACTATTCTCAGAAGCATCCAAAATTACGGTATGGGGTGTTTTGTCTTATTTGGTTTGCTTTTTTGGTTTGGTTTGGTTTTTTTTTTTTCAAAGTGCTATATAAAACTGTTATACTTCCAGCTCTACAAACAGCTGTTGATGAGTAGGGCCATGATGAGAGATATTGATGAGGCCCATGTCTGGGCCATTTTTTTTCTACTTTGAGATAACTTTGTGCTTCAGTAATGATTTTGCCATTTTTCCTTTTTTTTGAAGACAGCTTGTCATTTACACGTTTAGCTGCTCTCTGTTTCATTCACCATAGTAAAACTAGTGTAGGCCTTTCTGTGAGTCCTAAAAAACTTACTGCATGTAATTGTTCTACCATCTGTATAGAAGCTCATGGAGTGGAAAACAAGATCAAAAATCACCTAAAATTTTTACTGTAATGAATGTCTTAATTGTCAAGTTATAGGTATCAGCTCAAAGTTCAACATATCCTCCCATTCAGGTACACTATTCCTGAAAGTTCAGGACCTCTGTGAGGTATTGTGTCAAACACCTCATCCTCATTTAGAAAAAAATCTTGGACAGATACTCTTCTTCACCCTTCTCTAGATTTCCCAGCAGGGGATTGCACATTTTTACTTTATGTGCTGATAATTCAAGCACGATTTAAAAAAAAGTAAGGTAGCTCAGGCAGAGTACGATTCAGGTTCAGTTAAACTGCTTCCAGTGTCTCTGCTAGCTTGTTTATGATAAAGTTCAGGTATTTGTGCAAAGTACCACATCTTAGACATTTTCTTTTACCTGTTGCTGAATAATTCAGCATTTTCTGTGAAACAACAGTTAATTATAACCTTGATGAGTTTTGATGAGCAGTTGTAGGGCAATGGCAGTAGTAACATAGTTCTAAACATATGTGTTAAAATAATACCCAAAATATTAATCCTTCTTTTAATGTTTGCTTATATTACAGACATGCTTTGACTGGAGGTTTGTATGTTCTGTGAAGGAAATAGGATAGCAAGGAAGTAGTTGGAAGGTGAGGGAAAAGTAAAAGGGAGCCTAGAGCCTCCTCATACGACAGCATCCACCATCAGGTGATGTTTGTAAGACCTTTTTTCTTAGGAGCATCGTAGGATTTCAAAGGATTAATGAGTTTGGGTTTTTTCACAAGCATCTATTGTAAATTTTCTTAAAAATAAATAAAGGGATTGTAGTAAGATTTTGGTGAGTCTCAACAGTCACAAAAAGACAATTCATGTATCCAGACAAACCTGACATCTGAAGCGCTTCCTGAGGTGTTGGAGAATGGCTAAGGGAAAAGGGACATGGATCTAGAGATCCTCTTTGCGACGAGAGTCTCTTTTAAGTTGGCATGAGTAGGCCTCAGTCAGCAAAAGTGAACAACAGCAAGAGTGAATCCCGTGGGAAAGTACTGACTAAGGTTTTGAAATGAAACATTCTCTATCTCATCAAGGTTGGGAAACATTCCTTGTTCTTCTTTAATCAGTGGAGGATGGAGAAATGAGCATTCTTTGTTTCTCCTAAACTAACTTATCTGGGTCTTTCCCAGGGCTTGGGCCAACAAGCCCTGGCACGGGCTTGCTTGTATTTTATCCAATCAATGATTGACTAGTAGGCATAATTTGTAGAAGGATTATAAAAGGCTGTAATGAAAATCAATAAACTGAAGCACACTTTATCACTCATACTGAGTTGGCTGCGTTCTTCCTCCTTGGCCTGAGTCCTCGGCTCGCCCAGCCCGGCACTGAGGCAGTGCCATCCTCTTCGATTTCTTTCTTTTCTGTACTTGGACCCCCTGGTGAAACTCTTCTGCACTCTTATTTTTAGTATTTTGGATCAGTAAATGTTAGAACTAATATAAAGACTCTCGTACTGTCAGTTGCTCTAGTTTTATCACGGCTTACTGCATTTTAGAGCAATTACTTCTTTTCCCCTTTAAGAGTATGTAGTATTCACCATATTTGGCAGTGTGCTGTGAAAACACAACAGGTCAGCAGTGAAAAAAATTCCCAGTTTTTATTTGATTGTGAGCTCACGAGAAAATAGAACAAACCAGTAAGTAATAGTGAACATACCAGGAATTATGTATAGCAAAAGTATTTGTCACAAGTTTTGTGATCTGTAAAATCTTATCCTACATAGGCCTTCAGTGAAGCTAATCCAAATACATCAGAGATAAATTTTGTCATGGGGTAGTGAGAATGACTCTGGGTTTACGTTTTACAAGGGGTTCTCAACTGCAGATGTTTCCTGCAGCATATTCGCCATCTGACTCTTACCCGTTTTACACACTCTCCTAATTTCAATTATAAGACGTTCCTAACTATTTTGTGACTTTACATTCTTTTTTAAAGAGTTTAATCTCAGCATGTAATCAATGCTATGTCTTATACTGCAAGAAACATATATGACTTTTAATGGGATGGGTAGTACTGTTTATGTAGGTTTGGCTTGCTTTCCCTTGGTTGTTATATATTGCACCTTTCTGTTTTATCACTAGATGGCAACATAACAACACTCCATACCAAAAGTTGCTCTAACCAGAAATGGGCTTTTTTTATCTCATTTTTCACAGCAGAGTTTAAATAATTCACTCCATCCACCAAAATGGGAACATATGCATTGTGACAATTTCCGTAAATTGTTTCTTAGTGGTTTGAGTTCTGGTATTAATTTTTTCTACCTTATTAACTGCTGCTTTTTTAGACAACTAAAGTGCAGAACAATCAAGTAAGAGAAAATAACATTGCTTTGTAAATAAGCAGTCTTTTTTTCTTCCAAATAAGGAAGAGAGTATATTGATTCATCTGAATCATCTCACCTATGCTTGGTTATTTTGCGGAAACACATTTTACTTAAGCCAGTGGCACTTCTGTTCACATCTACAAGTACAGAATTTGTAGCATTTTTGCCTTTCCAAATATTTAATTTACTGAGATAAGTCTGGAATTTAATATATCTGTTGATAGAAAAACACTGAAGTAAATTTGGGGTGAAAGAACTTGTAGCAAATAATCATATGCAAGAGTGTCCTTAGCATCCCTCTTGAGAGCACTGAGCCTATAGATTAATTCAAATCTAGTCAGACTGGACAGGATGATTATCACTAGACAAGGCATGAAAACTGAAATTTCAAACTCATTTTCTCAAGGGACATGTTTTCCAGTGAAATGAGAGAAAAAGAACCAAGACCAATCTTAACTGAGCTACCAGCTTTTTTTTGCTCTTGTAACCTTGGACAGACTCAACAGTTTTGCTCAGTATTTGGTAAACAGTCAGTGAGAGGCTCTTGGGCTTCTTAAGTCTCCTCTGAAACTCAGTAGCAGCTTCTTAGGAAACTCAAAACAGTTTGTAAGAATAGGAATAGGTTCTGTCCTCTATCACATTTTCTCCAGAAGCCAAAAGTGGAAAGCTTACACTCCTCCCAGGTCTGCTTTATACTGAGCTGAATTTTTCAATTTTTAAATTTCTGCCAGCCCTGCTGTATCCTGATGTAGTGAAACAGAACTGTTTGGTCCTTGATATTGGAACAAGTCATCTTCTTCAGAGATGCTGGCTTTTTGCACCCTGTCAGATCCATTATTATCCTATGTATTTAATGAACAAGTTGTATTATGTCAAGTGCAGTTAGGGAAGTAATATTGGAAAGCAGCTACTATTAATTGTAAAGTAACAAAAATTATTTCTGTGTCTTGATTAATTTGCATTATCCACACTCTCTGTTTCCTGGAAATGTTTGCCAAGGAAACTTCTTGAGTTTCAAACTCACTTCAGACTTGATGTATTGGAGCTACTATAGCTGTATTCATACCAATGTATATCCTAACAAAGTACCTATACTGCTATGTACCTATAACTGGGAGGACCACACAGATTGCTGATCTCTGTAAGGAACGCATCAATGAATGGATTAGTAGAATTAATTAATAATTCTATGGAATACACTGAGCATGGGCAAGTGAAGCGTATAAGCATAAGGATATAGAATTACATAATGTGATTTGTTAATTTTTGTAGGGTTCTCTAACTTAGTTGCTTACCAAGCATACCAATATTCTCTGCTTTCAGTACTTAGAATACCTGCATTAGGGATGCATGTGTAACTGTCAGTGTGATGCACCCATACACACACACACTCTGTGTAAGAAACTAAGAATTCTTCCCAAAGACTTAGAAATTCCCAGTATTCATGACTATTTCTCTTGTCAGGTTTGCCAGTCTGCATGATTTATGATAAGCCTATTCCTACATATAAGCCTATTCCTACACATCTTATTGTCTATTAATACAACTCTTGCTGAATTATCAGTGGTCCTGATCATCATTTGCAACATGGCTTGATATTAGTTCTTGTTAATCTGTTTTCATCTACACATTCCAAGTAGCTCAAAGAAGGCTGTGGGAAGGGTGGGGAGAAGGTGTCCTCAGTAATAGTGAAAGCTGTGTTATTCCATGGAGTTACGATGTTAAAACCATTAATTTTTAACTCCAGATATTATCTTCTCAGCCAGATCTTTCAGTCATGTACAGTTCTTGGACAGCACTGAGATAGGAAAACGCTTGGTTTGGTAAGTTTGGAAGTTAAAGTCCATTTGCAGGCAAATTTTGATCTTTTTCTCCCTGATTTCATTTCATCATCTATCTTCTGGAATTAGAACGCAATTTGGAAATAATTTTGTACCACTGAAGGTGCAGTTCTTCTAAGAATGTGACATTAATCATGTAGCTGAATTTCTTCAGTCAGTTCAACCAACTGAAGTTTTCATCTTTCAAGTCTCTCTGTTCATCTGTTGTTTCTTCCATTTCCAATTATAGACAGTCAACCTACCTGCAGTATCTGATGACATCCTAGCAAAAATACATGAAAAGCCAACAGTATTTCAGAAATGCTTTGTTCTAGATACCCCTTTTATAATTCCAGGCCCCAAACAATCATTTCCTAGCAAGGAAGATGACACCTCACTTTGTTCCCCCCAAAATAGTGACCCCTCCATTAAATGGTCTGCATGTTTTCCAACAACAGCAGTTTTATTATAAAATTTTAAAATTTTCTATATAAATGATAGATTCAAAACTTATGTAAAAAAAGAAGTTCCCTCAGATGCTTTGACTGAAGGCCTAAATAACAGTGTAACTGATGTGGCTCTAACAGATTATGGAATCATATTTTTAATAAATGGTACTTTTTATAAATGAGAAGCTAATAACTTTTTAAAACTTGGAGTGGAACACAAGCTTCCTGAAATTGAAATAACTGAAATACATTCAAGATGTGTTCATCTGTCAATCCAGTGCAGGTAGGTTATCTGTAGTTCTCATTTGACATTTAAGATATGGATGGTCTTCATTAAATGCCTGGATTAATCTGTTTTAGATCTACTTTTCATTGATGTAATGCTGGGTTTGGAATTAGAAATGACCGGACAGCAACAAGTTTATTTAAAGAACATTTTTAAATAAGGTCTGCACACTGTCTGTGGCTCTCACTGCATGAGCTCATGCAGCCATATGAAATCATTTTTGGGATCACAGCTTAAATTTGCAAATGCATTTCTGTGAAGCTCTCCTAATTATATTAGCTGAAAATGTATCCCAAAACATCTTGATTTCTTAATGTACATCCTTGGCATGAAGTTTAAAGATATAAAGGACATGCAAGGACAGAACTGGGAAAACCCAAGCTTGGCTGGAATTTAAACTAGCAAGGGATATGATGGGTAACAAGAAAGGCTTCTATAGGTGCATCAACAACATAAGGAAGAAAAAGGAAAACGTGGGCCCACTGCTAGATCAGGCTGGAGATCTACTAAGGATAAAGAGAAGGCTTTATAAGGTATCTTCCTCCGTCAGTCTTTATTGACAGATTCTGTTTTCAGTCTTACCAGGTCTCCATTCATATTTAGTAACTTTTGTGGGAGCGAGTTACTACCTACAGGATCAATTGATCTAAATAGGGACTACTTATCTAAGCTGGACATGCACAGTCCACAGGACCAGACAGGATATCTTTAAGTCTGCTGAGAGAGCTGGCAGATGCCATTGCAAGGCCACTCTTCATCATCTTTGAATAGCTGTGGTGATCAGGGGGGAAAGGCAAACATCTCAGTCATATGAAGAAGGAGAGAAAGAAGACAAGGGAGAACTACAGACTAATCAGCCTAAACTCAGTCCGTATGAATACTATTGATCAAATCATCCTGGAAGGTATTTCCAGTCACAGAAAGAATGAGAAAGTGATTGGAAACAGTCAGCATGATTTTACCAAGAAAAAAGTCATGCTCGACCAACTTGATCATTTTCAGTGAGAAGATGACTGACTTGGTAGACAAGGGTGTAACAGTAGATGTCATTTACCTTGACCTCAGCAAAGCATTTGATACACAATGAATGACTGGTGCACAAGGTGGGTGGAAAGCTGCCTGACCCCAGAGGGTCAACAGTTCAAAGTCTAACTGGCAGAGGTGGGCTGATGTGTGTAACATCTCCATCAGTGGGGTGAAATGCACCCTCAGCAAATTCACAAATTACAGAAAATTGGGGGCAACAGCTAATAACCTGGAGAAGTGGAAATACCTCCTCATGACTGAAACAAGTTAGTCTATTTTCACATCAGCTAGTTTCCAGAAGGGAATAGAGCATAACATGAAAAACAGTACCCAATACAGGGCCTGGAAAATGCATATATATCTGTGCTAGAAACACAGTCAATGAAAGTAAATACACCATGAGTGGATTTGAGTAGTGTTTGAGCCATGTGGTCAGGGACAAGAAGATAAAAGGTAAATGCGGCTGTATTCAACCACGAATCAAAATAACAATAATAATAATGCTTTGTCATTATTATTTTCTGCTACATTTTATATTTTGTTAGCTCGGTCATTGTCTTGACCAGAGATGTCCCATCAAGAAAATATGATCTGAGAAACCCTCATCAGAGTTTTGGAGTATTCAAGGAAATACACAGCAAACATCTGATTCTCGTGAGGAATTAATACTGGAAACTCTTGCCTCCAGGGTAAAAACTGGAGCAGTATTGTCTCAGGAGGCTGACTAACAGAAGTCCAGTCTTCAACACCTGAGTCAGAGAAAGTTTACTCAACTTCATGGCTCTGATGTTCATTCAGAGTTGGGTTAAGAGCTTCCCTCTGTCAGAACAGCCTGTTCTCCAACAGGAGTTATGCTTGCTGCTCACAATTTTGGTAAAAGGAACATTTGAGCTTATGGTGATTTTGTTTGCTCACTCACCTCTGTATAAAGGTAGTAATTTCAACCAGGGTGCAAAAAAAAAAAAAAAAAAAAAGATCAAGGCACTAATGGTTGCTCTTCTTCCATGTAGAATGGTCTGGAACTCATTCAAAATTTCAATCATATCTGAATTTCATTAGAGTTAGGAAATTAATTAATCTGCGCTCTTTCCCAGACTCCCTGTAGTTGGACAACAGACTGATCTTAATCTGAATAGGACCAAATTATTTAGACAAAGGAGTTTGTCTTTCATTCTTTCTGTAGCCAGAGGAACGAAAAACACAACAAACTCTACAAAGCCTGTTCAGCTGAATAGCACCTCTACAGTGAAAGTGCTGTCAGAGATTAAGAATCAGAACTGAAAAATGTCAGACATCCACAAGCAGTCACTTGGAGTTCCACCTACAATGCCATTGTAAAAGCATCTATGAATGATAGTGTTTCTTAGAGCAATCTTTTTCTTAACATACACTAACTCCGTATTATCTCTGGATGTGAAGGGGATGGTTCTTGTTATCACCATTAGTATGGTGGTTTATGTACAGTGTCAAAGAAAAAGGGCTACCTACCAATAACCAAAGTCCTTTGAGATGTGTACGCCATATGACTATTCATCTTCTATCTCTGGAAGAGGTCCCCATAGAACTGTTTACATCTAGAATTATGGGGTTGAGGGGACTACAGAATATACGGTGTGGTCTCCTTTATGTCCCTGTGTGCAAAAAGTTGAAGCATGTGCATGCTTCATAAATACTGCTCAAGCCATATGGCTTCAAATACTAACAGCACATGCATCCAGAGTGGCAGTGTGCCTATGGGGAGTATATCTGCAAAAACTCCAGCTAGCAGAGTAACTTCCTACTTTTTCAGAAACATTCCTGTATCTGAAATGTATATAATTGCCACTAGGTATTTCATTATCACATAAAGCATTGTGCAGTATGTAAGTATTTTACAGTAGTTGATCACTTGGTGAACTAGTTTGTTCAGTCATTGTTTTATTAAAGACACTGGTATCCCCCTTCCTCATATGAGATCGTACACGGTAACACTACTAGAGTCAGTAGATTGAAATTTATACAGTCATTAAAGGCAAATTAAGGAGTTTGCCTTCCTTCTTCAAAACACACTCCTTATATCTATACCAAGACCCATCTTCTATCCCCATGACATCCAGATTCTTAAGCAAAAGAATTCCAGATGATAAAGGAAATGATCCTGCAAGATCCTGTGGTTTCTTCTTCTTTTTCTTTTAAAAAAAAAAGTGGGAATGAGATTGAGAGGGCAAAAGATATATCTGTCAGCCACTAGGCATAGCTGGTCAAAAGGTTTCTTTTTAACTTGGGGTTGTATATGAATGAAGTACATGTAAATATCACATGAGAAAGATAACAACTATAAGAAAATTTAATTTTAAATAAATACAGCTATTATATTTTCTAAATTTCAATTACACAAATGTGTATTCTTTCTGGTTTTCTTCTTACAGACTACTTTGGGAATATATTGATAAAAATGAAAAATAACATCTTACTTGCTGGAAGAGCTGACTTAAGAGAATTAATAAAGCTTCCTATGTGGATAAGTGGAAAGAAAAACATTGTCCTTTAACTGAATCCATCTGTTAATGTATACATGTTATTAATTGATGGTTCTAGAATATACTGCTAGGCCTATCCTTTAGAAATTGGAATATTTAGCTCTACATTTAGCTCTGAACATTCTTGCTCAGTTGTAGCTTTTCAACACAACATGGATTTGAATGTCTACTGTCTGGACATGGGAGATGAAGTTACATATTGGTCTCTGATAGCTTTTCAGGAGAAGGTGGCTGTAAGTACATCTCTGGAAGTCTACAGGCCAGACCTACTACAACTAGAAAAAAGCAGCAGTTGTGACATTGCTCATGGAATCTGTGTTAAAAATAAGGTAAGGTTTTGGGGGGGGGGTTTAAGTTTCTTTCAAATATATGTTTCTTTCCACTAAATTTTACCATATGGTTTCATTTTCTGCTGTATTTGGGCAATATTTGGGGTAGTCCTTATGCGTATGTAGAAGGAGCAAAGAAGGGCTTCTTTCCACGTGCATTCACCATTAGTGAGACTTCGCAGTGGAGTATACGCTCACATAGGTCCATGCAGATTAATTTTCTACTGATATAGCTATTATTTAGGTGTATTTCCTTAAAACTATAAATTAAAATAGCATAGTAACTAAGGTCAGCACTGTATATTTGTAAATTAACTACGCAATTCTGCAATATTAAGGCATATTTCTTAATAAACATGAATAGTAAGTCACATAAGCTGGAGATCATCTACCCAAATTTAGGCATATGGAACACACTTAAATATCTCATAAGTGTTTCTCAGCATTTCATCTTGTTTATCTGCCTCCTTCCGTTCTGCTGCTATGTTTCATTTGGGTGTCTAATGACCCATACATGACTGAGACACTTCATTCTTTGAAGGAGATGATTTCAGCTACTGTTAAAATAAGCACCTCAACATGTAGCCTTAGTACAGTGCTCTGGTAAGGGACCAAACAGTATTTTAGTATGTATAAGAAAGAAAATGTGAATAAAAACTAAGAAGATCAGTTTGCTTTGGTGCATGGTGTTGATAAAGCTGAGGCTAATATATTTCTGTCCAGTTCTAACATCCCCTGTTCAAAAGGAATGTAAAAATACCAACAAGGCTTTAGGATCACAAAAATTATCTGGTAAGTGAAGAAAAAGGTTTACAGTGTGATGCCTAAGAAATCAATTTGTTTCATGTTCAATAAAGGAAAGTGGCCATTGCCCTCAACATTTTTGTAATGCTGGCAACTCTGCACAAGAAACTGTAGGTAATTTAATGTCAGGCTTAAGTGTTCCATCAGGTATGCTGTAGGAATTACAAAGGTATGGTTTTCCCGGTGACCAAATTACTGTCTGTGAGGTGAAGGTGTGTTTGTTTTCACTCTTGTTTGAAGCATCAGTTTGAGCACAGATGAACATGGTATCAGATAGACTAGTTGGGAGAGTGTCATTCCACAGATGCATGGGTTGTTGGACCTTGTTCTTATGTTTAAAATTAAATACAATTCCCTGTTATTTCAGAGGCTTCAAACCTTCTTATGTCACAAAGTAGTCACCTAAGAACTGAAATGCTTTAGTTGACTAAATTTACTGTGCTTTATTCAAAACAATACGGATGGAATTAAAATGTCCTGAGATACTCAGAAAGCAAGAGTAGATGCCTAATAGTCCTAACTACTGTGATTTGTACGCTTCACTATCAGCTTTCCTTTACTTCTTCCCATAATTACACTCATTATATTTTATAAGTTATTTTGCCAGTCTCATGTGTCCCCTTAAATTGGTCTGACAATTGGTAATGAGCTTAGACTCTGTACTGTATTTTGGTTTGTATAGCTTCTCCTGCTTTCCATCCAAGACAGGATTCTTACATTTTCAGTTAGGTGAAGTATCCAGCCAAAGATCTTGGCAAATGATCCACAAAGACGACTAAATACCCCAAATAGTCATCATTCTTTGAACTCATCTTTGAATCCATCTTTGAATCAGCAGTACTGCATTCCACATTAAAATCACTGGCATTGAAGGCAGGATTCATTCCTTTTTTCTTCATCCAAATACTCATTCATTTACCAGGAATCATCAGACAGTGGTAATGACTCCTTCATTTTATTGAGGAAGCCCACCATTTATTTAAGGTACCAGATGATTTTAAAACCTTCTTCAACAATTAGCACAGACTTTATACTTTGGTGAACTGTCCTGTAGTCTTCTTCTGGATTCTTCTTCCAACTATCACCCATGAGGATCTCACTGCCAATGAATGAAACAATCCTATATCTATCAGTAAATCTATCATTGGCAGGGCCCTACATCTTGCACTCCCATCTCCAAACACACCAAGTCTTAGCAGAGTATACCATATTCCTCTTTAGCTACAATGGGAATCAGCCTATGCCATTGATAGTAACAGTGATGCATAAAAAAGCAAACATGTATTTTCAGTTTGCTCTGTGCACTTGAGGAGAAGGACTGTAAGGGACTGAGTGCCCAGAATTAGCACATGTATTCTTCTGCCCCCTTTTAACTCAGATTAGCAAATTTATCAAGCCTACTTTATGAGCAGAAATTACTTGTGGTTTCTGAGATAATTCTGCTTGTGTTTTGCCCAAGCACACCCATGCAGTCAAATCTGGTTGTTTTCAGGCAGGTAACTAGTCACTTCTGTGATGTGATTCCATCTTTGAGCCCTTCATTTAAGCACGTGTGATTATTTCAGACCTCCTCCTCTCTGCTCTCTCCCCTCAGCATGCTGTTCAGTTTCTCTTTCCATATCAGCTCACACCTGTAAAGGTGGCAGGAGCCTCAAAATGTCTGCGTGGATATGCCATTCCACCCTTTTTTTCCTCCATCCAAATCAGTCAAAATGGATTGCTTCTTGGCAAGTTACAGAATTCATGCAGCTGATTCTACCCCAGGATTCAAGGACAGAGGTCTTTACATTAATATACTTACGTACAGAGCCATAAAGACCCTTGTGTGCATCTGATGAGAGCATCACTATGCTCTGTATCAAAGGACAAAGTTGTCTGATTATTCTTTTGTCAGAAACGGTTGATCTTTAAAAGTTTTGAATCAAGATTCCAATTCAACTCTGATATTCTCCTTCAAGGAGTTCTAAAAATGCTAGTGAACAAACCTTGCCATTTCAGAATCTCAGATCACAGATGGGAAATACAATCAGCTGTCTTCAGTACTGTTTGCAAGGACCGATGATTTTCTGAAATTGGTTTCTTTATGGAAAACTACAATAGCAGCAACTAGATAAGTATTCTGTTTTAGGGCCACCTGAGTCAACAGTCTCTGATGGATAGATTTCACCTGTAGTGCTACAGTAGGTTGTCTTATGCCTTTCAACTTATCTCAACACAAGCCAGAGTTTTGCAAAAAGAGAATTCAGATAGGATGTCTGTAATTCTGCTTATTTCCATCTTCCTAATTCCAGATTCTACTGCACCTGTTAATGAGTTCAGTAATAAACCCAAATCTCCCACAACAGTGACCAACCTCCCACCCAAACTTGACTTTTCTCAATTTCACAGTGTGGTTTGTCTGCAAACTAAAAAAAAAAAAATCTTGAATCTGTTGACATTTTCTAAGCTGTCTTCATTATCTCACTTTAATTGAACTTGTGTTTATCTATAAAGACACATTCCATAACAATCATTAATCCATCCTCCCAAAGAAAAGTTTATTCTAGCATTGCAAGAAAACTACTCCTGAAACTAACACTGAAAAATGTAGCCTGTCCTTGGATTGCTGCTGTAGTATTTTAAAAGTAACCAGTAGTTCTAATAAAGTCAAACTTGTTTCTCTGAAATCAGTAAGCGTTTAAAAATCACTGACTGCCAGGACTGACTCTCATAGTCTCTCAAACATCCACCTGTAATAACCACAATACCTGAATTATGAGAGTGGGAGTAAAATGGGTCACTGACATTGTAGGTGATGTGATAATAAAATAAGAATTAATAAGTAGTAATAACAGATGCCTATTGCCTCCAAATGAAATTACCTTGATTATTGCTGCATTTCAATTATTTGGTGTTACTGATCTATTTCAAAATAGATTCTAACGCAAATTCTTGTTTTGGGCGGGGGATTCTTTCATAGAGAATTAACCAGCAGTGTTACGTCATCTGAACTGCAGCCAAGCATCTTTGAAAACACACATAAATTACAGCATCAGGCAGGCGCTAGAGCTTGATAAAGTAATTTAAAAAAAAAAAAAATATATAGTAACAATGCTTCTCAGATTCTTATGAGCAAATCCTGACCCACTGCCAGGAGGATTTCACTCCAATTCATATCCTTGCAATTAACTAACATCATATAAAATACCATAAACACTGTCTAAGTAGAAATGCAGAAGAGAAGAAGTGCACAGTAAGGTATTGATGAAAAAGTGTTCAAGATGAGTAAGACATGAAACAGTTTGTAACAAGAAGGGAGCCATAGTACTGAACTAGCATGCAGAATTGGGGCAATAGCCATTATCCCCATTAGTAGTGACCAGACTCCTCAAAGCACATGGATAAGATTCATTTCTGGAAGGTTTCCTGGGTAAACTAAAGTTTGTATTTTTTTTTTCAGGTATATTACTTTTATGTTGGCTAGTACTCCAGGAAGGCATTTTGTTGTTGAAAGGTAAGTTTTAATAATTTATTTACTTCTGGGTAACTAGTTGAAATAAATGCTAATATAGTGGTATTTTTAGCCTCATATATATCACTTAATAGATTTATAAAATATGGGGTGGGGGATGGGGGGTTGCTGCATAAATGCATCCAAACAATTGTAATGTTTATCCTTTAGAATTACGTATAGATTTATATAGCTTATAATTTCTGAGGAAAAAAAACTAGCAAAATTTTTTTTTAAATAAATGTCCAACTTTCCATATTATCAATTCTCATTATCATCCCTGTGAAAGCCAGAGTAATGTAGGTACCCTTTATCCTGTCTTGGGGCAATGGGATGAAGATGATCTGCAGTGTGTTCAGCCTTATTTTCCTAAAACTCTATCAGCTGTTTACATCCATGATTGGAAGTACAGTATTATTAACTCAAACTTAATTTTCATACTGGTATTTCTGACATATCAAAGAGTTCAGGAATGTAAACCCATAAATGATAGATCTCTTTTACCTCTAGAATTAACTTGAAACTAGACTAAAAATCATGCCCAAAGCCAGGCTTTTCATATTTTCTTTAAAAATTTGTATCCTTAGAAAATTCAGTAACATCCTGAAATTATTGTGAAAGGGTTTTTTTGTGAATAGACTTCAGAATACCAAAATAATAGGTGAAAAATTATCGCACAAATAATGATAATTCTTTAAGCATAGAACAATGAAAAATCATTTACATGTTTGTACACTGCCAAAATATTAAATGAAGCTGATTTATACAGATTATTTTTTGTCTTTTAGGCCTGCAGACGTAGTCTGAGAAAAATGTAATTTCACTACCTACAAAATACCTGAGTAAGACACTGTATTAACAGCCCAAAGAAGATTAGGCATATTGGGACATACTGTCATATGAAACTGAAGTGCTATATTTGATTATATATATACAACTTCATATAAAATGAGGCTGTTGTGATATTAATGTTCCTACCAGGTTTTTGTTTTGTTATAGTACAGACACAGTATTTGTGAACTTAAAGTGAACTAGTATTCTATGTATTCTCTACCAGAATAGCCTGATTGAATCAATGCAGAAAACTATTGAAATATTTTTTCTTTTCTCAAGATTATTCCCTGCAAAAACATTATCTGTACCTGATTCCAGCAGGCTAATGGGCATTTTCTGTAGTTCAGAGTTTCACCGATTTTGCTGTTAAATGAACAGTGTAAAGAAACTTGGGACTGTAATTTTTCTGATATCTAAATTTTTAATTGCTAGTTCTGGGTAATGCTGTTAGCAATAGCTGGCTACAAATCTTTACAAACTAATGTCATTGATTTTAAATCACACCAGGAAGTTTAAATTGTATAGTAGAAAGAAAAACTTGCTGCTTATGTTTTTAAGTCATGAAGAAGAGTGGCAGGTTGAAATCTTTCTGTCTAAACAATTGACGCTATGTCATATCAAGGTAAATAAAAACAAGAGGTTTAATGATTGTTGATTTTTCGTTTCATTAGGAATTTTCTGTGGAACCCAGCAGATGAGGACCAGGTAAGAGTTACAGGTTTCATTCTAGCTGGGCTGCTTATGAAAAAGAGAGGCAGAGTGTGACATTCAATATCTGAATAAAACTTCTTTTGTAGGTAGCCTATTATGATTGGGATAAATATGGTTGCCTAATGGAACTTCATTATGAGGAGCATTTCCAACCTGTTATTTCCTTGTAAGGAAACTGCTGATAAGTTGTGAGCCATGAGGAAGACTTCTTATGCCGAGGTCAGGTGGGGAAGTGAAGCTGCAGGAACGCAGCCAGGTCCAACGGGATGAATAGTGTTGCCAAATCTTTATGTTCCTTTTCGCACATAGTACAGGATGCCTTGGTTTTAGTGGGTATTGCTGTGTCCACATCGTTGCTGTAATTGCAAGATGCCTCAAGATGTCTTAGAGTAAAACGTCTTGTCAGCATGCTGCCTACCTGTCCTAGCCCCTGCAGCGGCAGCAGCTCTACATGCCCGCTGATCCGTGCGCCCTTCTAAATACAAAGGCTGTTTGTGTGCTTATGCTGTTTTACTTGAGATGTCACATTCCACATGTTTTACAGATATGATGGTGATTTGTATGTTAGAAATGCTGAAGCAAATATATTATGTGAGAGGAAAGGCAGAGCTGACTATGGGTACACTTCATTCATGAAAGAAGTAAGTCATTTTACTGAGAACGTAGTTGAAATGTTTTATGTATAATGTTCTACATGCAAAGTATGACTGTTCTTACACATGCTGAGACCTCTTTAGTCTGAATGGATGTACATAGCTGCACAAATTTTTAACATTTCAACATTTCACATACTAGACTTAACCACATAGACTATTCAAAGTTATGCATGTGGGAGGAATCGAAACAATAAAGTAAGGAAGAAAAATGTGCCCAGTAGAATATGGCTTAGGAAATGAAACTTCAAAAATCACTTTGAAATTTCAGACTGCTTTCTCTCCAAAGAGAAAAAAATTATATGCACTAATTCACATTGTTATCAAAACCAATTCTACCTGATCTATTTATAATTAAAATTAGTATATTGCTTCCTTTTTCAGTAGGATGACAAAGGATATTTAAGCCAACTCCTCATCTACCTATAGTGTTACAGGAACTCTGGTAGCCTCCTCTGACAGCTCAGTTTATGAAAGAACTCTTTGACACTCTTCTATGTATACATATACAGTTATGCCAGAGGTTTGGACATGACCCTATTTCTTCATTTGAAACCCTGACAAACACAATTAGCTCTTAAAGATAAGTAAATCAAATATACTGAAGCATGATGCCACCTTTTCATGTACCATGCTTTCACATGATACACATTTAAAATTCACATTTTTAATCTGTTTGGCTTTGGTTGTTTTTTTTTTTTCAATTTGTATTTTTAACAGGCAGGTTGTCTGTATAAAGCACAGTCATGGCCCGTGATGCTTAAAGAAAGTACAAACTCTACATTGGATAAAATCTGGGGACTACAGGTATGAAAATGTATGTTTAGAAATAGCTGGTGGATTGCGTGAATAAAACCTGTTCTCTTACTCCATATTCTTGCACTACTGATACGCTTGGAGGAGAGGGGCATGGTGAAGCACTGACAGGGTGGAATAAAGCTCATATGACAATACTGCATTGGTCTAACCATAAAATGATCTAGAAGCATAATTTTGTGCTGAAAATACATTATCAGCATTGTTAGTTATTATACTGCAAGAAAGACAAAGGTGTCACTTGATACTCAGTAAAGCATTCTTTGTGGTCAACAATAGGAATAACTGAAACTCTTGTAATACAGAAAAGTGGAACACAAAGAATAGTGCTAGACAGGAAGCCAGAGGGGGATTACAAAACTAGAGAAAAAAATTCCTCAGATGCAAACACACACCAAGAAGCTGTAGGAAGAAGAGTGGGCTCAAGCCAGTGGAAATACCAATAAGCAACAAAAGTTGTGTTCATCCTTCCTAAAAAATAAAAGCAAAGAATGGGTTATTTCCTGCACACAAGGCTGGAGTATCTGGCTTGACATTTCTGCAAAATCTTGTCTTCACCGTGTTGTTCAGGGAGACAGAAATTTGTCTGAAATCCTTCCCATATCAAAGCCAGAGACAGTTTTGTTACCAATGACAGTTTGGAAAGGATTCCATTTGGATATCCTACTTATCAGTAGTTTCCTTGTCATTTAGGTCAACTTCATAGCATTTATTTCCCATCTAAACAAAATTGTTTCACTGAACCCCAAATCTGGGCTTTTGCCAAAACAATTCTTTCTTAGATAGAGATTAAACTTCTCCCAGTGCAATTTGTAGCCATTGCCCATTGTCTTCCCCACGTGGCTCCTTGTGTAGAGAGCTCTTTTTGCTCAGCATTGCTCTTTTTGCCTTTTGTATCAATAATATTATTGATACTATGCTCTAGGAGAGGCTTGGCTTTCAGGTCAGCATCAGACTCATTCCTGATCATACAGTTAGCAGAACTGATGTACGTATTTCCCCCAGTTTCCTGCCTTTCACAGGAGATTGTCAAAGTAAGGTGGGATGAAGACCAAGTGCTTTTGCTGGCCTTCAGCCATCTAGCCTTCCCTCAGGAACTTTGGCTTCACTGACCTTCTGAGACTTTCAGTCCAGAATACCAGGACACTTCCATTATTATTATTATTATTATTATTATTATTATTATTATTGTTGTTGTTGTTGTTGTTGTTGTTGTTGTTGTTGTTGTTGTTGTTGTTGTTGTTGTTGTTGTTGTTGTTATATTATACCAACTTTCAGTATGTTTTTCTATTTAAATCCCTTTTATCTAACTGTTTGGATGTGGATGCTAGTGAGGTTAATATAACCTCGCTCTTACCAGTGAGGAACGTTTTTGTAAACTGGAGAAAGGAATCCAGATAAGGAATCCATACAGGCAAGTTGAAAAGGCTTTCAGATCACTATTCATGAAGATCATATTCTCCATTATGAACTCTCCTCCAAGCAGTGATTCTTTACTGTCTATTCAAATTGAAGAGTTCTGGTCCCTCTGTTAGCTTTGCTAGAGCTCTGATAGCTCTGACAGCTCATTTCATGCCATGCTTTAGCCTTGCACAATTAGGTTAAATATATTATTCTATGTGAAGATTAATCTGCTTTTCCCACCCTCTTGATGGTAGACTTTTGAAGAAGCAAAGCAGACTCAACTCTCCTGCCAGCACACTATTCTCTTAATGGAACCTTAATTAAATTTCTGCATCTTTTAATAAGAAAACCCTTTGAGTATGGGACTACAAGCCTCTTCTAAACCTGTCCACTAAGATAACCTCTTCGGTCACCATTACCTTGGCCCATTAGTATAGGTAAGAGTCAGTTCCTCATGGCTGACCTTTTTTCTAGTTTTCTATAAAGATAATGTTACTTTTAGGACACACATAAAACCCTTACCCAAGACTTTTTTAACTTTTATTTAGCCAAGGAAATGCTTGCATGCATCTTTTCTTCCTAAACCTCGTTCTTCAGCAGAAGCAACCCTTCACATTTTACGTGTTAGCGTACCCTCTCCATGTATATTAACAGGATGATATTCTGACTAACAGAGCTTACACATACATACCAATGGTATGAATTTATATACATGTATATATAGACAGTATGTCTTGAGAAATGCACAGGAAGTAATCTCCTTTTATTTTTGCTGTTTGATTGATCAGATTCCCAATGGAAGACATGCCAGGAACCCACAAGTCTTATAAGGTTGAAAGAATGTAAAGAGAATGTATGAACCATGACATCTAGAGTTTTTACCTTCAAGCAGCCAAGCTTGTTGGGGAAAAAACAGAATATGTTCTGTAATATCCACAGAAATAATGCTTTGTCCTGTCCAAGAATTTCTTGTCCACAACTTTAGCTATCATTACGAAGCATGTTCATGCCCCTTTCAGAGTGAGGAAAATATTTTCTGAAGATTTTCAGAAAGAAATTCTGAGGCATCTTCCAAGTTCTCTATATGCTTTATATTCTGACTCTTCTGTCTAGTAGTAGCCTTGAGATCTGTACAATAGAGACTGAATATGATAAACTGAATACAGACAACTGTAAGATCAGAAAGTTCTCTAAGTCTTTAGGAGAAATACAGTTACTATAAGGACGGGTAAATGTGTTTGGTAAATATTGGCAGGTTCTTAATAGCTCTGTCAAGGGACTGAATTATATAATTTATGTTCATATGGTCACTTAATTTATGCTCAATTGAACATTTATGTAGAAGAATCTATTAATAATTTTCAGCCACTACTTGCCCATGAAAAAAACACCACACCAAATCTGTGTTGGTGTTCAATTGCTTTTCAAAGTTACTTTAAAAATAAGTAACTCTTCTGTTGTTTCTGTTCAGAATTACAGATCCTGTTTTGTGTTTCATCAGATCAGTACAAATGAAGGACTGCGTGAGCAGTACCAGATTTTAAACAGCACTTTGAACAATTACATTGTTTGGGCTACTAGTCATAGTGCCATTTGTGTGTTCAGACTGAGGATATTTGATCGAAACTACGGGCTATTGTCCTTTTCTTAATGTGATAAACTGTAATGATGTGGGGTGGAAATGGATGAAATGCCTACCATTGATATTTTTTAAATATTTTGCTCAGGATTTCCTTTGGGTTTGGGTGCCACCAATATTTTCAATTCTGCCTAGCTCTAACTTAGAAATGAGGTTGTCATTTCTCAGACTCCTTGACTTTTCCATTTTTCAGGCTAATCCACAGCATATATACTAAGTACATAATCTGAAAGCAATAAGGCATTTACAAAAAAAGAACCAAACTATTTGTAAATAAACACAGGTTATCTAATCTTTGAAAATGCCCTATCTTACATTTTACAAGAACTTACAAGATTGTCACTTCTATTCAAGAATATTTGTCTTCACTTCAAATTAACAATTTCATATTTCAATTTTTCTTGATGAAAAAATCAATTTTTAAAAAATAAATTGACCTGTATAATATTCAGTGTACTACCCCACATCCCATATATTCTGGGAACATAGATAAATTCCAGAAAGAAGTCAATAAAATAAACTGGTATGTTCACATTTCCTGGTGGCTTACTTCTACTAGCCAACCTTACACTTGAAACCAACAAGTGCAAGGATTCACAACATGAAAAAAGGTCCTGGCACAGGCAGGAGTTCTGGCTTTGCTTCTCCCCTTCTTTCGAATCTCCTTGCTTGAACCACCAGCACAGATGTCAGATGTAAAGCGGTGAGGACTGGTTAATGCACTGCAGTTTCTGCAATGCTCCCTGCTTATACTAAGCCTATACTTATATTTTATATATATAATATATATATTATATATTATACTTAAGCTTATACTAAGTAAAGAGAGCAGTTTCCCAACGTTTTCTAACCTCTTTCAAAGCCATAAATGTTCCCTTGTATCCTGATCTTTGCAGAGACATGTTACCTCCTGTTTAAACCTCCACAAGTCCTGCTGATACTGCTGGGATGACTCTTGCAGAAAGTGCTTTTTCCAAGGCAGAGGACACCCAAAACCGTGCATTTACATGCCTGAATGCTCACAGAAGTTGATTTTATGGCAGAAAAAATAATTGTAATTGCAAATGTGTTAAAAAATGACTATGTACTTCATTTTGACTGTTACTTGTAACTTTAGAAGGTTTTGAATAACGTTAATAATTTAATAATTCTAATCTTCTTATCAAGAACTTAAATTTTTCATTAAATATATAAGGATGAGTGGCTCTGGGCACTGGACGGTTTCATAAGATTCTCTGGTTTTGTTCTCAGCTGTGAAAATAACCTAGCAGGGCTTTTTTACATATTTCAGTTTTTGTGATTTAAAAGCATTTTTTGCAGTCCATACATAACATTATCCCATTAGCACTTCTTCAACATACCCACACACCTCAGAGAATTGCTTTAGTCAGCCTTACAACTTATGTGACTAGGTGAAAAGTGTTCAGAGATATTACTCGGATCCCAACCTGCAGGCCTCAGCCTGATAAACCAGGATACTACCTGCTTCTCATTCCAACTTCTGTGGTATTTATTTTCTGTGTTCTGTACAAGATACCTGGAGTTGGAAAGCTTTTTAAAGCAAATGAACTTCTAAAGACCCCAGTACGGTCACCTCTTACTAGGAAAAGGCTTTATTCTTGTTCCTAAACCAAAGGAATTGCCATTGACTGAAAAAGTCAATTGACATTGACTGAAAAAGCAAATCCTTTAGGTGTTCCTATTGGGTTCTGAACTGTGATGACCATGCAGATTAAAAGAAATCCGTAATGATTAACCAAATAAATATTGTCATGAGTTACTGTACTGAGTGAATGTATGGCTAGTATGAAATCCAAGATATTCTTGACTAATTAAGGCAGGAATCAAAAAAGATATTGCATTTTATTCCCACTTTGTTTACATTTCCAGTCAGATACATCTAGAATTATGCTCTATTCAGTCATGCCCTTCAGCTTTTTGGTCGTCAAACACAAATATACTACTAGTAACATACTAACATTACTCAGCTTTCAAGAGAACCAGAGCAAGACTTAAAGACCAGTATTTTACTCTCTGTCACACTAGCGACAACCTATAAAACAAGTAGTCAAAATATGGTGTCATTTTAGACAGCTGAAATACTGTCTTATTAATGTTTTTATACGCACTTTTTATAACTCTATAGTATCGTTTAATGTATTTAGTTTCAGTTATAAAGGACATGCTGTTCAATACAACTTTAACTGATTTGTGAGTACAGGTCAGTGGTGGCCAATAGCTTTTAGCAGATACCTTTCAAGTCGAAGTAAGTTAAGCTACAGTTGTGAGCCTCATGCCTGGGTTAACCTCACCTCCTCACAGATTTCTCTGACTTACCTAAGCTATTAGTGTATCATTTCCGTGTGAAATCTGATAGAAAAATGCACGCAAAGTTTCCACTCTACCCAAGGGACTGCAGCCTGATCAGTTCCCATAAGAAGCAGCACAGTCCATACAGGGAATATTGTATGTTCCTCCAGATATTTTTTTTTGATACTGTATGTTTTACTTCTTGTTTAACAAATGCTAATTCTCACTTTAAAGCACATATTTGGATTATATATCTTCAAGCTTATTCTCTCCTTCAATATATAAATGTAAGCGCTACAACACTTGTTATAATAGTTAAGTGTCTTATTTGAATCTATTTTTGCACTTCTAGCTAGGATTTTCTTATTGGTAAGTTAAGATACCTTGTAAAGCTTATACTGTTAATGGCAATTGATCTATTTGTCCTAAAATAAGTTTAATAAAACTTCATTGATAAATAAATGATTGAATTTCTCATAATCACTTTGATATTCACAAGTTTATGAACATTTTCATAAAGATTATAAAAGCTGTGGAACTCTGGCGCAAAGAATACATGATCATTTTAAATAATTTGCTACTGATTCATTTTGCATGATTCATATCCCATCTCTTTCAGTACAGTTTGTACCAAGACAGAATCAGAAAAAAATCAGAAATCAACTTTGAAATTTCACCTCCAGTGAAAACAGTCTGTTCCTACTGAACACTAAGTCGGTCTTCCCTTGAGAGAGGATGGTCCCGTGGGCTGAAGCACAGGTGAGAGCCCTCTGGTTTCTTCTGGAGCATCTGCACACCTGCGTCTCACCTTAGCTGCGCATATGCCAAATGCAGGAGACACACAGGAGGTGTGCAGCAACGTCTGTGCGGGGTGCTCTACATCTCTCCGTGAATCTTGGGTGCCTCAGCCTTCTCTCAGTTCTCTTTTACGACTGAAAATTGATGCTCCTCCAATCTTCGTATTTCTATACCTTTGAAAACTTAACAGACAATGGCATTTTCCATAAAAATGAGAAACCAGACTGATCTTTAATTGTGTTTCTCCCATACAAAGATAGGAAAATGCTATGGCATAAAGTAAATGTAGTACAGATAGGTAGACAATGATTATGGTTTGTGTTCTTCTCTGAGGGGATTTTCTGTGTTCCTGTTAAGGGTTCAAGCAGCTTGGCTTTCAGTTTTACAGGGCCGAAGTCCCTGGGTTCACACATTAAACTTCTTTTGTGGTGACAGTGCCCACTACTGATCACTGGCCCTTTACCAAATTGCCAAACCCATCTGAGTGTGTTGGAGTATGCCCCTGACACACTTTCTCACTCTCCAAACTACTCAGATAAATGCAAACTGCTATAGAACATACCATATAAGGCATAACTTTCTGCAGTATTCACACGTGCTTGACATTGCTTCTGACACCTAGCTAATCACAACCTATTTGCTCAAAAGAGGGATTTTCCTGTCTTCTGCAGATAACTGCGTGAAAAGATAAACCACATCACTGAGAAAGTCAGAGCCATAGTGTTGTTACTACTCCATGTATTAAGTCTAATATTTAAATGACAGAATTCAATTTTTAAGTCAAATAAATTACACTTGTGGGATTTATTCATATCATATGAATTTTATCTCTCTCTCCTGTCACTACAGGCTAGGAGTTACGTTTTCGTCTCCTTTTTCTTCACAGTGCATCCTGTAGACGGGCAATGAACAGGACAGAATGAAGACTAAGTGATTCACTAGAAATCATTCCAGCACTCTCCATTTCTCTCTTCCAGTTAATGTATACAGTTAGTTGGAAATGGAGTCCCTGCCTTTTCAGACAAGGTTTTTTACCGCTGCAGTTTCTACGATACAATCATATTTTCCTCAGAACTTCCTGATACAGAAGCAACTTCTTCCCACAAAACTTTTTGGTTTAATAACTACATGAGTGTTTCCTAGCTGTCAGCCAAAGAAGCAGATGAAGAACATGACCCAAAGGAGGTATGGACATCCTGTCCACAGATTTATTCTTTTACTGGCCAAGTAAGGCATTACTGCCAACAGTCCTCACATAGCTAAGATGAACCAGATATTCATACACCAGTCTGTCAGGCGTCTGAATTTCGTATTTTAACAACCAGTATCCAAACCTCTGGTAAGTTTTTGCAACAGTACTAGTCTCCTCTAACCAAAGACCTTTCCCCAACATAGGAAATAAACAGATGCTTTTTTCAACTGCCTGCGTCAGCTGTGTTGTAGTACTGGACGGACGGAGCGGTTCTGCACACAGAACGGAGCCCAGGGTGCAGAGCTCAGCAGCCAAGAGGAGTTTTAGCTGAAAGAGAGGTTAAACATCCAACATCTAAACATCTGCAGCCAGAAGTGATAGTAGAAGCCAGAATACCCCTGAGGTGGCAACATCCTCCTTCCTGCAGCACCCCCGTGTCTCAGGGGCACATCCACAGCCTGTTGTGAACTGCACCTTTTTTTTTTAAAGTGCTATAAAAGGGCAATAGCTTTCTTTATACAAGTGAGTCTGCTGGAAGAGGGAAAGCATCTTTTGTCCTGCTGACGCTTTTATTGACTGGCATTTTGTTTCTTGACGGGGTTGTATGTAAGGTCACCTTATCATCACATGACAAGGTTACTATCAGAGGCGTTTGCGAGCCTCAGAAGTGACCGTGCATTAACCAGTACCCACATGTGGGTTATCTGCAGGTCCAAAGGGCTCAAACGTTGCTTCTGCAGAGCTAGCTCGAATTCCCGCTCTCCGCCGAACAGAAACGCAAAATGGCGGCGCCGGGGGGGGGGGGGGAATCTCCCCACGCGGCCCAAGCACAGACCTTCCCGCCACCGGGAACTAAAGCGCCCTAACATAGGACTCTCACGTTCGACATAACTCGGGGCAGCCTGCCAGAGCCCCGCAGGTGGGAAAGGGCGGCGGTGCCGGGCCGGGGTCGGCTGCAGCCCCGGTCGCCGTCCCGGCCCCGGCGCGGGCGGCGGGAGGGCGCAGGGCAGGCCGGGAGCTGTAGTCTCCGCCGTCCCGCTCCCGGCGGAAGATGGGGGCGGGCCCGAGCGGCTCCATCTTGCGCCCACTGGCGGGGCTGCCGGGCCGTCCCGCGGCCGCGCCGCCAGCGCCAGGCAGGGCGCCCGCCGCCGCCCGCGCCTCTTCCCCGCCCGCGACCACCGCGCCGCCTCCCTCCCTTCTCTCCTCCCCTCCCGCCGCCACCGGCCCCGCCATTGCCACCGGGGTGGGGCCCGCGCCCGCTCCCCCCCGCGCCGCCCGGCCCCCGTCGCCGGCCGCGGGCTGAGCGCGTCTCCCGGGGGGCGAGGCCCCGTCCCTCCGCGGCGGCGGCTCCATGGTGCCCGCCGCCCCCCCCCGCCCCGCAGCAACAGGCAGGACGAGAAGGAAGCGGCCCCCGGGGGTCCCCACCGCCCCGCCGCCGGCCTGAGCGGCGCCGCCGCCGCAGCGGGAGCGACCGAGCGGGCGGGGGGCGCCCGCGGGCCGCCGGCGATGGCGAACCAGCTGGTGATCCTCAACGTTTACGATATGGTGAGCGCCGGGGCCGGGGCCGGGGTTGGCAGAGCGGCCCCGCTCCGGCGGCGGCGGCGGGCGCGCGGGGCGGGGGGGGGGGGGGTAGTCCCGGCCCCGCTCCCGGGAGGGCCGCGGGGCCTGCGGCGCGGAGCGTCCCGCGGGCGCGGGGCGAGGGCAGCGCGGAAAGTTTTCCTGCCCTTCCTCTGCCGTGCGCTGGCTCCGTGGGCTCCCGCCCGCGGGGGCGGTGGTGGGGAAGTAACGATGAGGCTGGGGGTGGTGGTGGTGGCGGGGGTGTGGGGTGTGTGTGTATTGAGGAGGTCGCTCAGTTGCTGCGGATCGTCTGTGACCTGTAACAAAAGTTAGCTGTGGCGCCGGGCCGGGTCTCTCCGTGGCAGGTAGATCCGCTCCCTGTCGCATGGGAAACTCTTCCCCGGCCCCGGCCGGCGACGGGAATATCGCCGAGCTGTTCTTCCGGCTCTGTTATTGCCCCCGGGGCTCAGCAGTGGGGAGGCCCTGCTTTCCTGCTCCTGAAAACCATCGAAGCGGCTGATTTTCCAGCAGGCTGGGAGCTGGGGCTAACCAGTGTCTCTGCAGGGATAAGGGCTTCTTAGAGCTATGTCAGTGATGGGTTTGGTTTTTATTTCTAGACCAGAATTCTTGGACAGTTTTGGTATGGCTGCAACTTGGTTTGCAGGAAATTATTGCAGAAATAAAGGAATTACTCCAGCTTGATTTGCAGTCCTATGAGCTCACCTTCCCTCCCTTCTGGGTAGTCTTTCCGTGACACCTACAGCAACTGTTGTGTTGTCTTATGTTCAGCTGGAAGCTGCTCAAATGCCATGGTAACAAATGAGGTGTAAGTACCTGTATAGAACAGGAGGTGCGGATAAGTAATATTAAGAAAATATTATCCGTTAATGCGTTTCAATCACTGGAAATTAGAACAAGTTGCGCTAGTTCTCTGACCACGTTTTGAGTCTATGGATAGAGGGACAGTAAGACTGACAGCTAGCTTCAGGTAACTGTGTGACAGTTTATTTTGGATACACTTTCCTACCACCACCATTTTAAAGTGAACTTTTGGTGTTTCATAAAGTATGAATGTATATAGTGTAGAGTCAGTGACTGCTGGCAGAAAAAAGAATGCAGCTTGTTTGCTTGGGAACGCTCAGGCTCAAATGGTAGAATATTTAATAACAATCAATAGGGAGCTATCCATCTAGAAATTAAAATTACATATGAGATTATATGAACTAGCCTGATTCTTGTCATTATTTTCCTTCACCCTAAAACTTACACAGAAATCAATGACCCTGTCAAGGGATTTATCTTCTTTTTTTATTTTTCTGCCCCTCCTCCTGTGTCTGAGTTCTGTCTCCAGCAAATATAACCTGTTACTTCTACTTTGTTTTTCCTTTGTTGTAGAGAATGAGGGGAGACTGGAGACAGGAGCAGTCTTTTCACTGATTTTTCTGAGAGGGGAAAGAAAAAATGGGGTCTCTGCTCACCTGATTGAGCTCACATGTGATGCTGGTATGACAAAAAAAAAAAAAAAATCAGTGTGCTGTATTTATACTAAAGGAGGGAAGGATGCTCTGTCACATGCATACATATGACTTTTCTGGACTACAGTTCAACAGTACACATTGGAGAAGCTCTTTTAGCATGAAAAGAGATGGCTTTACATATGTTAACTATAAATATTCGTACAGAGAAAGAAGTAGGACTTCAGTTTCAGGACTCTTACGTAGATGGTATCTTTGAAGTCGAGGCTCGATGCACTTCTGACTCACTAAGATGAAAGACCCGGTGTTCTCACGAAGACTTGCTTAGCTGTGCAAAGTGTCACCGGGGCCCAGTTCACAGGCAGGCTCTGAAGACTGAACGGGATGGACTGTCTCCTGTCTAAGTGCCTGCCTGGAAAGTAATGCCATGGCCTCTGGGAGAAATGCCATTCTCGCTGTGATTCTGGCATTGGTGGGGTGGGACTTCAGCGTGCTTTTTTTCTTTTGCGATAGTCTACTCTTTCATTCACATGGTTCTCCTTTATCTCTTACTCCTTAGATTTCTTTGCTGCAACCCATATCCTCCTTTCTCGTTCCTCTAGAGTTGGATTGCTGTGATCAGTTTTACTCCTGCCATCTTAGGAAGGCTGACAGTTGACGGGAGGGAGGGGAAAAACAAAGCAACGAGAAGGTTGCGCTCATAAAAACTAGTGTCATGCTTTTCCTTAGGACATACTGGTGACTGATGGTTGCCCTGTTATGATCAGCAGGGCTGTGCCTACATCAAGAAATAGCACAGTCTCTAAAGCCACCATCTGCAGAAGGAACTTATTCTCCAAAAGAAGGAAGCAAGCACATTTACTGATGTTTGATCATGTGTAGGGGTGGCTTTTCGTGCATTGGTCTGCAGTTGTGGTATTTGTTGAAGCTGAAGCATCACCACAAATTATACATAGTATAGGCTGAGACCACTAAGCAGAATATTTCTGTATCCTACTTCAGCTGTGTTTGTTGTTTTATAACGATGTCTACATTATTTGACCATTACAGAAACAGAATTCCTTTAAACTGGAAAGTAAAACTGAGGTTCCCATGTTGTCTGAAAGACACTGTCAGTGTACATCCTGCCTCAAACTCTTTTGCTAAACGATGTCTCCGTCCATTTTAAACATGTTGGAAGCAGGAGCTTAAGCTGAAGCCTCAGTTTCACGTTGTGTAGCAGTTACATTACTGTCTGTAGGCAGCCTGCTGAAATCAATGATACTGTGTTGGGGGTGGGGGGGGAGGGAAGAGTCTTTCGTAATAGCTAATTTGAAGTTCTGTTTATTCATCAAATCCTGCCAAGTGTGTATTGAGGCATGAGCAGGTTTACGGTTCGATTCTGACGTTTTGTGTCACTCGGAGGTGGGTTTGGGGGTTTTTGTAGTTTAGGTTTGGGGTTTTTTGTTTCTCTTTTAGAACAAGACACCACTGTTAGTCACCCGGTTGACAGAATCGATGCTACTATAATTGCAAGTCGTATGAACAGCTTTATTTTAACCTGAGTGCTAACTGTAGCTTCCTTTCCCAGGCAGCTGCTTAGGTATGCAGGGGAGTACTAGGTGACCTTGCTACTGTTGAAACTCCTTACAAGACTGAGTTGGCTGGTTTTGGAGCATATACCCTTCCATTGTCCTTAGCGCTTGAAAAAGCAAAAAATCTTTAATAAAGCCAAAGGGTGAGCTGGGGAGCGTGTGTTGTACAAGAAAGTGGACTTTCAAGTACTGGTAACTCTGTAGAGGGAGAGAGGCTTAAGGGCATATTTACGTGCTGCAGTTCATGCCTTTGAAAATCTTTTATGATCATTAAAAGGGTAGCGTGAAGGCTTTGATATATTGTGTTTTGAGAACCAGAGTACTTTATAGTTGCATTTTAACTAACTGCTATTTTTAGGAGTCTAGCTTTTTTGTGCCCGTCCTATTTTTTCCATTGTCAAATAAGGCTGTAACAATCTAAAGTATTAACATAAATGAAAGCTCTGAAGAAAGTAATGAAGATTTTTTTTTTAAGCACTGGAATTAGTGTTTTTCTTTCATTTCAGTGATGGGACTTTATTGTGCTCATAGAAAAATAATTCTCTAAGATTTTTGTTCTGATAGTTGCATTAAACAGGAATTCCCATTTTACAAAATTGATTTACTGCAAAATAGTGAGGATATGGGATTGCGCTTTTATAAATTCTACTGTGGCAAAATTCATATCAAGATTAAATGAAGGGGATCCAGTTTGTGCAGTGGAAGCAAAGGTGTAGCTTTTGGGATCAGTTTGGGATTCCAGAATTTACAGCATGTTACTGAACCAGCAAGCTGTATAGATGTCCTTTAATTTACGGTCTTTATTTTGTGAGTCGCATATAATCTTTTCAGCCGTAGCCAAATTCAGCATACTGTAAGTTGCATTTGTCCTGCATTTCTTTCTTCAGTGAGATAAGGCATTTTTTTCAATGAGGAAATGTGATGAACCTTCCAATAGCTGATCCAGATTAAGTAATAATTAGATATAATTACTGTTCCTAGGGGGAAAGTAATTCTGCCTTATTGAAATTCTTTTATCTTCAATTAACCTACTCCGTTCTTACTGGAAATACTAAGTGAAGTGCCAGCTTGCTCTAGGCGCTTCTTCCAAAGCTGCTAACATTTGTTTAATTTGCCACCACTGCTCAGCTTTTGTAGTCTAGGGAGCCCCATGTGTGTAGGCGGCACCAGTAAGGAGGAGCGCGTACTTGAATAGCGCTGGGCTTGCCGCACACCTTGTTAGAACAGCTTCCCAGCCCCTTTGCCTGCTGCTGTGCAGATCGATGAGGAGGGCTGGTAACCCACTTTTCTGTCCTCTCCCTGTACCTTGCATTAGATTTCATGGGGTTGTGGGAGGGGAGGTGTGTTGTTAATTTTTTTTTTTTTCTCTTTTTCAGCCTAGTAACAAACTAGGTTTTATTACTTCTGTTGCTTATGGGATATCTTGTATAACTTTTGTTCCATTTTCAGACAGCGGCGATAACCTTGCTTGGCATTAACAGATCCAATGCATGTGTGATGTGCAGGTTATTTGGAATTCTGAGGCCAGACCCAGAGTTTTCTGGCCAAGTGGCTGTCCAGGAGAGGAAAGACTAGTGCATCGGGGGCCCTGTCTAGCTCAGTTCTAGACTAGGTTCGTTTGGATACACCTTCTTTTTAGCCAAACATACTTTCTTCCTGTGACAACAAACTGTAGGTTGAATGCCTATGGTTTTGACTACAAATATAAACCTAAAACTATTTTGAAATGATCAGCTCGTAAAGTGTGGGATGGGACCGGCTTCAGAACTGAAACAGGTTTATGTTGAAGTAGCTCTTTCATTTTCCCAGAGACTTTGATTTCACTTCAGTGAACAGAATCCCATTTTTTTTTATGCTCACAAACCCATTAATTTAGTTGGGTAGTCTTAACATCATTCCCCTTCCTTCCCCTTTTCATGTTTTCTCCCTGTTCTGTGTCTTTCTATACAGAGTAAATCTAACCCAGTATATTTCTGGATGGAGCTTGATCAAACGGACTTGTTCTCTGCTCTTTTCTGGGGGGAGGAATGAAAGAATGAACTGCTAAGCCCTTTAAATAGGCTGAGATGATAATTTAATATAATCATCCACTAGCTAACATAGCAATGCATTGACAAAGCAAGAAATTAAAGCAAAGGGTAAAGCTTAATCTTAAGCAAAATTTATCCACAGATCTCAACAAGCCTTTAAGTAAATAGGAGCAAAATCTGTCCTCTGTTAATTCGTGTTGACCAAATTTCCCACAACTGGCTTGTCTATAGAAGAGAACATCAAATCCTCAGCATCTTGTTATCCAGATAGTCATTTGTGCCCTGTGCCTGCTGGCACAATTGTGAATTTTAGGCTGGAAAAATCATGTGCTGATGTTTGGCACCTGCCGGTAACTGAATTTGGGGGGCCGTTTATTTTAGGTTTGACAGTACTTAGAAAAAGGATGACTGTAAAAGCCAAATACATCCATATCTTAGGCCTGAAAATTTGTAACTTTTGGCCTAACTTGCTCTTTTTGCCATTTAACTTGTCTTGATTTTCATTAATAGCTTCTCAGTCCAAAGTTTAGTGTATCATTTTTATTGTGAGGAAACTAGCTTTCAGAAATGCCTGTTACACGTCCTGTAAATTAAGCACTAACTCCAGCTAGCACATCTTAACAAAGTGACACTGGTAACCTTTTACGTTTTTATCATCAGTTGTGCTGTTTTAATAACGACTTCACATCAGAAAGCACTTGTTATGTCAACCAGGTTGTTTAAAGAAGATAGCTTCTTTTTCCCTCCTGTTTGCTAAACAAATATTAATTTACTGGGGGTACTACCTCAGTCTGTAGCCTGCCAACTGACTTTTTGAAGTCTGCTTTGTAGTAGTTGGCAGCAGTGCCCTTTGGGACCAGATGACCTGGGAGGAAATGCCCCACTACTGGAGTAATTGGCAAAATAATGTTTTCTTTCTATTTTGAGAGGTTTTTCTTGCTAGCCAATTTCAGTTTTAAGGACACAACTAAGGCTTTTTTTTTTTTTTTTTTAGCTTTTGTTTGAGGTTCCTTTTTAAATTATGTGTCACTTAAAACTTTTTTCTGCTTGGAGACTGATATTTTGAGGGTGGTGATGTAGCCAAGGAAGGACAGTAATTTTCAGGTTTTTGCTTTCTAAAACTCTGCATCTTTAAGGTCTTGAGGTTAATAGTTAGCTTCTGATAGGTAGTCACTGTTGCTGCTGCTGCTTTTGAAAAAGGAAACTGCTAAGGGAATGTTTTTTCATTTAATTTTTTTTTATTCCTTTTTTTTTTAATTTTTACTTCCTGCTTTCCTTTTGAAATGCAGCTATTATCTATGGGCTACAATAGAAGTGATATATTGGAAATAGGTGTTAGATCTATGCAAGGGATTTACACCTCATGTATGGAGACATCCATCAGGAGCCTGGAGAAAACACTCTCGTACGGTGAACACCAACTGACTATTCGAAGAGAAAAATATACTAAAGCTAATTTCAGTCTGTCTAATGTATCTCTGCGTGTGTCTTGTGCTCATCTGGTCATAAGCAAAAGTGTGGTCACTGCTACAAAGGACAATTGGTGTGTTTATATTAGTCCTACATTCCAATGTTATTTTTTTTTTAAAAAAAAAAGTGCTTCTGCAAAATTACTGCAGTTGATTCTAGAATATATTCCACCTAATGGGAAACTTTACAACCTGTAACTTGTTGACTAATCAAAAGTTGATCTGAATTTCTCCCAGGTATGGTCTCCTTGATTGACATACATTGACAGCACTAAAACACTGGAGTAGAATCTAATGGAATTAATTCACTATACAGTTAGTAAATTTTAATGGCATGTTCTGTTCCCATAAAATGGGTTACGCAGTTTCACTTTGTGGTAGGGCTTTGTGTTTTTAATGTGGGGGACGAATTCATGTCAGTTTGCTATCAGAAGACAGATCTGTATTGGAAACTAACTAGAGTCTTTTTGTTTTCTTCTTTCCTCATAGTATTGGATGAATGAATATACTTCTTCCCTTGGAATTGGAGTGTTCCATTCAGGTATAGAAGTGTATGGCCGAGGTATGTACAAGAAAAACGTAACTTGTTCCTTTTTATGGTAACGCTGTTATTTAAAAAATATTTTTCAGGTAGTGAGGGAAGTCTGGCTCTTGAAACCTGTTCATCAGTTTTCCCTTAGAGTGTTTATCTCTTCTGCCTCTGGAAATTCTTATTCTTGGATACAGATAACCCGGTGGTCATCTTGCATTCTTGTATAAAGCTATGCCACTAGGAAAAACTGTGCAATTTATTCAGCTAGGCATAGGAATCTTTATTTTAGGTTTTGAAATACCTGTTGTTAAAACAAATGTCCACTTCATGTAAGCATGTTTGAATCATGTTATATTCTACCAGCACTTAGTGAAAGGAGTTACTGCAAAAACAATAGTCTGTCACTGCTAGGCACCTAAAAGCACATTATGCTCAGGAAAAACTGTCAATTCCTTACTGATGGGTTGGTTTGTTTTAAAGAGACGGTTTCGTCAAAAGACATCTCATACATACTGTTTACAAAAGATACACTTGTGAGAAATACAGCAATACATTCTGATTTTGCTAAATAGGTTGAACTTTGGGGATGCAGCTTCCTGATATGTTCAGGCCTCTGATTGCTGCCAGGAGGTGTTCGCGAGCATGCTGTAGCACAGGCTCGGGTCTGAGGGCTTCCTGCCTACCAGTGTAAGGATGCTCTGAGGTGACAGTGTTCCCAAAAGTAGTACACTTAAATAAGAAAAAAATATTTTTTTTGGAATGTGTTTGGAGGTGAGGGGAAGCAGCAAAAGGTGTGGCATGCAATCCAAAGACCACATTGCACAAAGTTGTCTTAAAACTATGGATGTTTCAGGTATTATAATGGTCACATTGTAACTGGGTTTGGGAGTGTTATCAAAGCAATAAATTGAAAAACCAGGGTGCTTACTGAGACAACTTTTTTGGACTGCTTTTAAGCCATCCCAGAACGACCTGACTCTTAATAGTGCTATGCCTGAAACCCAGTTCTTGAGCTGTGCCAAATACATGTGCCTCCCTTCCCGTTCAGATTATAACAGCTTTCTCGTCTAGCAGGCCATACCCCTGCTGGAACAATGACTTGCATTTTTCAAAGTACATTGAACTTTATTTATTAACCTGTTGTAAAAAAGATTATCTGCAAAACGGAATGCTGGACTTGGATGATGTGTTATGAGTTTTGAGGAAAGGAAGCATGAAGTCATGCTTAAAGCTTTTTATTGCACTCTGGGTGTAGCATGCTGTGTTATCTTACAGACACAGAAGGAAGCTAAAGCACACCATGATATTTTCATGTACTATAAGTGCTTATGCCGGCAGATGCTACGTGCAGACTTCAGATGCACGCGCTGGTTTACTTCCTTGTCATAGTAAAGAACTTGGGACAGTTGAACTTTTGCAAATCAAGAAATTAAGAAACCCATTGGGCTACTGCTCGCTGCCACACTTATAGCTGTAAGCACCCAGTAGAAATGCTGTCAGAGCTTTGAGGATGCAGTGCTTTGAATCCCTAATCTATAAATATGTAAGTGGACTTTTAAAGACAAGCATGTATAAAGAACATCAGTAGGACTTACGGTTTAACTTGTAAATTCTCACTTACACAACGAAAACAATATATACTTCCTGCAAAGTTATTCAAGTTAAACCTGTACACGGATGTAGGAAATTTCCCGTCAGTTTTCACTTAGGTTGACTAGTAACTAACAAAACTATTCGTTTCCAGCTCTTTGCATTTGTTACCCATGTAAATAAGATGTCTGGCTTCTAGCTTTAGATCCTTGTGAAGTGATCTTCCAGTCAGTGAGGTCTGCTGTTCTTTACTGCCGTTGTGTGCTGGTTTTGTTAAATCTGAGCTTTCTCTTTCAGAATTTGCCTATGGTGGTCATCCATACCCTTTTTCTGGAATATTTGAAATTTCACCAGGAAATGCTTCTGAGCTAGGAGAAACATTTAAATTTAAGTAAGAAAGATACCTATTTTCTTGCTGTTGAGAAGGCATATTAAAAAGACAACTTGTTGCATTTATTTTTGAGGATAGATGTGTTGAGTGATACCACAGGATTTCTGACTTTCTGAGAAATTAGTGTGTTTTCTTTACTGAGAAATGAAATATGGACAGAGGTGATGAGACAAAGTGTCGACAGCAAAGAACATTATTTTTAGCGTGCATTAAGCTCCTTAAGCATGTACAAATTATGTGGATTTGCAGCTAGCTTTTGTTATTCATACAGTATATACAGCAGGGTATAACTTTCCAAGGCAGTGAAATTTTTATTCAAAGAAAAAGCTGAAAAATGTTGCTTTTCAATGTTTTCCCATGTGTCTCTTCTACTTTCTTAGTGAGATTGCCTTTACCCTTCCCTGCATTACAAGCTCTTACCTGTTCTCAGCTGTCTCTTAGAAACAATATCCCTTGGAAAGGAGGGGAAAATTGCATCCGGTGTTTGTCAGAGTTAAGTTGCTAAGAACTTAAGCGAGCCACAAGTGGACAATCCACAAGGAAATAATCTCCCATGATAAAGATGAAAGTGGTGCTATAAAATGGAATAGAAAGAATCTGTTATTCTAGGAAGGTAGAAGGATCTCACCACGCACGGTGGTGGGGTGGTTTCTGAGCAATGTATGACAGTAATCCACCTACACCATGGAAGCCTGATCACCTACTCTTTCTGTTTCTCTTCTAGAGAGGCTGTGGTTCTAGGCAGTACTGACTTTATGGAAGATGACATAGAAAAAATAGTAGAAGAGCTTGGAAAAGAATTCAAAGGAAATGCTTATCACCTAATGCACAAAAACTGCAATCACTTTTCTTCAGCTTTATCTGAGGTAAACAAATGTGAAGGTCTATAGAAAGGTGCTTTCCAGGTGGCTACTGAGCGTCATCTCCTTCCTGTCCTTTGGAATGTTTGGCCCAATTTCCAGCTTCCTATTTCTGTTACCTTGGGCAAATGTCACCCTTTTTCAGGTTTTATTTATGCTTATGTCCAAAGCACGAGATTTTGCTGGCAAAAATGCTAAATATTGTTGTCGTACATAGTTTGTGTTCGTGCAGGGGTGCATTCCTAATTGAGAGACCTAGTAAATAAAGTATTAACAGAATTTCAAAGTCATTTCAGATGCTTCATGGATCACTATTGAAGATAGCAGCACGTGTTATTTTTATCAGTATTTCCCCACAGAGTCATCACACTGAAAATAATTTCTGAAGTTATGAACTTTATGTTGAAGTCATTGAAGTTTCACAGACAATGTTAATCTTCTGCTTGAGAGGCTTTTGTCAGGTTACCGCTCTGTCAGCACCTGCATCCTGGTCATGTAGATACCTGAGTGGTCATGCACAGATCTGACTGTGGAGTTGAATGGGCTTTGCTTTTTCCCTTCAGCTTTATCTTAACATGGTCGGTTTGTCAGTGTGATCGAATGCCTGATCACTCGCATGTGTATCAACACAAGGGAGAGGGGTCAGGAACAAGTAATCCAGGACAAAGAGGGGAATGGCAGTTGTGATTTTTCAGTGGTGTGCATGTCAGAATTTATTCTAATGTCAATTTTTTCCATGGTGAACTTCCATAATTTTTTTTTTTTTCACAATAGTTAACAGTACACCTATTGTATAGCCTGTGTTTTCTGTAGACTGATCTTCCAGTGGTATTAGAAAATTCTATTGAGATGATTCGAGTACAATGCTGGTACAAGGAAGTAGGGTGAGACACTGACAAAGCTGCAGTTGGCATGAAGTCTGGCCTGTATGGCCAGGTATTTGTCATACTCTTCAACTGCACGGTCATCTTGTTTCTATTTTATGTCTCACCTTATTTAGTGTTCAAATTGACTATAGAAACAGAGAATTGTAAGTTAAATGCTGCACAGTTACAGTAGAGTAATGCTCCCGTTAGCTATGATTTTCTCCATATTTGCACTGGAGTAAATAACATCAGAAGTGAATATAGAGGTAGTTAGGTAAAATAGCTCACCCCTTGAACGGTAACAACAAAACCATTTAATGACTGATGTACAGTAAAACCAAGTATTTAATGCAGCTTCATACGTTTTTGAGGAGATGAAACCAGCTTTTCATTGTACAGCTTCTCTTGTTCCAGTGAACCCAAGTGTGTGTGTGCCTGGCTTGTGTGCTGTAAGGTAGTGACATCCTGTGCAAAGTCATCAGAGACGGTCACAGTAAATAGCCTCAGCTGCACGTGGAACTCCACGTAACTGCAGTATTGGCACTGTCTTTCTGGCGCTTGATTTCAGGATGCTTTTCTGGAATTGTGAGATTTCTCCTGCCATTTCTGTTTCTGAGGAATGAACAGTGTATAGAAACCATACCTTAACTAATTTCTGTTCCTTTTATAGAAGTTATTCAAAAAGAGTGAGGTGGTTTGGCTTTTCGGGACTTCTAAAAAAAAAAAAGTGTCAAACTCTCACAGTGGAAAAGTGTCCTTGTGTGACTTGGGACACTGCTTTTACTGATGGAGAAAGTTGTTTTAGAGCAGCTAACTTGAGTGCTTCCTGACTGCTGTTTGTGATATGTAAATCATGAGGCTGCTGCAGCCTTTGCTTTTTATTTACAGTACTGTAGTATTGTTACTCATGAATCCAGGAGACGCATTAATCCTTTCTTTTCCCTTCCCCCCCTCCTAGATTCTGTGTGGAAAAGAGATTCCACGATGGGTGAATCGCCTTGCCTACTTCAGCTCTTGTATACCATTTCTCCAGAGCTGTCTGCCGAAGGAGTGGCTAACTCCTGCAGCCCTCCAGTCTAGTGTTAGCCAGGAGCTACACGATGAGCTGGAGGAAGCTGAGGATGCAGCAGCATCAGCTTCCTTGGCAAGCTCAGCATCTGGGTCTAGAACTGGACGCCACACCAAATTATAAGTCCTCCTCCAAAGTAACAAGTGGTTTGAAATACTTCGGTTTAATCTCTCCAGCAATTGACTTCCTGACAGAACATGAGAGCTGACTCTAGAACATTGTTTTTATATGCAAAAAAGGCTCTCATCAACCCCTGTTTCAGCTCAGGATTATTTCTGTAGTGAAAAGAATTGCTGGGAGAAAAGGGAAGGATTTTGTGTGAAGCCACCCTTTTCATTTTCACCTGTTTGGTAGACCTGGGTTAATTTAACATCTTGTATAAAGCAGAATTTAAACTATTTGTTTACAGTATTGTGTATTGCTGTTTACAAGTCCTGTAAGGACTCCTGCCACCGTGGAAGAAGAGAGAATTTGAGTTTGATTTAACTGTTGGTATAACTCAAAAGCAGTGGTATGATGCCCTGGATGAACTCTCCCCTTTGTTTTCAAGATTTAAGGCAGGTGAACATTAAATTTCTGAGAAATGCCAGAAACTGCTGAATACTATATATGTGAACAGGGTACTGTGCACTTAAAGTGGCTGATGTAAGCAGGTGGATTCCAGGATGTAGGGAGACTGGTTTTGTCTAAGATCTGTTACTAGAAGTATGACCTCTACATTAATGAAACTGTGGATTTTTGCACATATGAAGGGGAATTTCTGTCTCATTACAATGCACATGGATCCCTTTTTTTTTTTAACTCAGCCATATAGTTTGCATCCTATCTTCTGTCTGTATTTAGAGTCTACTTCAGGATTTAGACATGTGAATACCATGTTAGAACCATCAACGAATTTTTCACTGTTTGCTTTAATTGATTTCAAACTTGTATATAAAAGCTAGTCCTTGTATCTTTTTTTTTTTGTTGTTGTTGTTTTGTTTCATATAATTTGGAATAGTGTAATACAAGCCATTTATGGTTGGGGAATGGCCTTGCTTTCTGCTGCTGATTTTGCTTCACCTGAGTTTGTAAACTTTCCTGTCCTTTTTTTTTTGAGCTCTAAATTACTGCCCAGTTGTGCATATCCGCACAAATTACAGAGAAATCCTAATTTATTTTCCCACAGTCTCTGTCTGTGGCATTAACTTTCTTGTCAGATGTAATGAAGAAAAACCTGAAAATTGCTTATGCACCTGCGTGTTTACACAGCAGAACCCACTAATCTGCACACATAATTATATCTGAAGGTAAGAGATATTATTTTCTAAAACACAGAATTATGTTTGCTGGTAGATTATAATTAGAGCTAAATTATAATTAGTGATCAGAATATATAATGGAATGCCTTATTCTTGTTCATTTACCAAGAGAATTAATGGTTCTTCCAGTCGTTAGTGTAAATTAGTGAGGTTCTATTGTGCACATAAGGCTACAGTAGCACAAACGTGAGGGAGGTGAGCTTGTGTATTTTGTAAGACTTGCTGCCTTAAACTAACAAAAAACCCATACCATCTGCAGACTGATCAGCTCACAAAGTGTGCATTACTAGAAGTATAAGTGATTCTTACAAGCTTTATTTTCAGTCTGTTGCTGGGCTTAAGTTTTCAATTAAGTGAAATACTGACTACAGTTTCTGCTGTTTAAAAGGAAAAAGTCCTCTTAGGAGGCAAGAATGCTTCATGTTACGAGTGCTCCTAGCCATGGTAGTTGGTGCTGTTGCACCCTGCAGATAGGTGCAGTAGGCTGTATCGTAGTAAGAATTCTTATCCTCGCCAACTCCCGCTCACGTTGGAAATGAGCAGAAGTTTTTGTGCTAGCAGTTGGGTTGAATCCTTTGCCAGACGGTCTTTAAGTTTTCACTCATCTTCTGTGATGCAGCGTAGGTACAGAGAGAGAGGCATTCGGTTCTGGGGGGAAAAAACACAAAACAAAACAAACAAACAAACAAACAAACAAACAAACAAACAAAAAAAAAAAAAAAAAACAAAAAACAAAAAAACAAAAAAAAAAAAAAAACCAAAAAAAAAAAAAAACAAGTGAGACTCTTTCCGGAAAGAGTGGGATGATAATAGAAGTCTCTTGAACTGTAGTTTGGTACGTGTTCTAATCATCTCTTCCACCAAGTGGGAAACGCTTAAGACTGACAAGTCTGCCACTATGTTCTCTGGTCTCCAGAAGCTGGATATACTGACTCTCCCCGTTGAGTGCTTTTTCACTTGACTCTCTGAATTTGAGTTCTCCTTTCTTTTTTTTCCTGTAGTGAAAATGAATATGGTGGTCTCCAGGCAACTCTCAAGCATTACAGAACTGAATCTCACACTACTTACAGCTAAGACAACAGGTTGCAGACAGGTTATTTTGACTCTGCTGTGCGGCTGTGGTAGTAATGTGACTAAGTCTCTTGGCCAAGGCAGGTCCTTTATTTCAGCTCAGGGTTGAGGCCACTGATCTAGCAATGTACTGTAGCTTTTCCTAGGTTTTAGGAAAAATAAATAGAATGAATTTTCATCGCTACCTAACTTTTATGTACCAAAATCAGCTTTTTAGGCTTCTGATACATCCAGAGCACTAGGTCACAAATGTCTACACCTTCATTAACACACACAACTGCAGCATGTACAATGCAAGAACGTGACAGATCACAGCACAGTTTTTATTTAGAAGTAAAACTAAGAGTATTTTTTATAAAACAGACTGGAAAGTTTGTAACAAACACATTCATTTTATTGGTAGCTGTACAGGTGAAAATACTGTCTTAGGCTCCTCTTTTTTGTTTTTGTTTCTGTTCCAAAACCATGCATTTGTAAATCCTGTGAGGAAACTGACACCTGAACCCTGAAGGCTGTGGGGTATCGCATCAAAGCCAGTGGTACTGTAACTTCAGTTGCGTGCTGTCAACTCAGCCTCCACTGGACACCTCCAAGTCACCCTGCCAGTGGTTACTCCGATTTGTTAGCAATAGAGCAAGTTACCCTTCACCAGCATTACTGCCAAGCAGGGATTACTTTAGTCTACTAATGACCACACTGTGCTAGGACTAGAACACTCCAAAATGCTGTGAGAAAGCTGGACACCTGTGGAGTCTTTTCCATCAAAACGGGTAGAAAAATATCACTACTTCAGGGTTCTGCTCTGTTTACTTTCTCATCCTTGTTTAGTTTTCTGTAAGATAGTACTTTTGATACATATTATATTCTTTAACTCCAAGTCATTTTATTTAAATGCCATTTTCTGTTCAGCAAGCCAAAAAAAATCCAATGTACTGTCAGTGTGCACCAGTAACTTCAGAGTGGCTTGGTAAAAACATAGTTGCATTACTTCTAAAATTTGCAATGCAATTCTGATCACTATTGAAACATGGTAATTTTCACTGTTGGAAGTTGGTTACAAGCTGAATATTCACTGATGCATTTTTTGTAAACTTGTATTCAAGTTTACTGTACTACATAGTATTTGTATAAAATTCAAAGAATTTTGACTTTGTTACCTGTACATGGCAACAAGTTGTCTAGCATCTGAAACTTAAATCCATCAGTTTATTAAAAATACTTTTATAAAAAAAGACGGTTGGCTGTGTGTTATTCCTCTGGTACCTACAGCTTGTTTTGTGAGTGCCACTCAAGATGATATTTGGTTGTGAAAGATGCTTTCACAGGACAGTAAAACTACGCAAGGAATTCCCATAGTTAAGCTATAGGCTGTATTCTGACACGGGCATCAGGGGCTGCGTTTTGGGTTGTCTGAGGCATTATTAAGAGCCACTAGTTTTTAATAGACTAAGTTCAGAGTGTTTTCATATGCTAACTACAGCTCTTGGGGTATAAAACACTTAGGATATGCCCGGGACGTGTTGCAGATACTACGTGCTGTATTCTACAACTTTGCTGGAAAGCCCCGAGCTGCGGGCGAGATCTCTGCGGGGCACAGGGGGCCCACCCCGCCCGGGCCTTGCCTGTTCCTTTGAGCAGAGCAGAAGGGCCCAGGGGAATCAGCCTGAGCCGCTGCTGCCCGCGCTGGGCCCGCTCCTGCAGCGGCAGTGCCGCTGGCCTGGGCTGCAGAAACTCCCTGTGCTCTTTAATTAAAAAATCGCCGCGGCCTGTCTCCCCGGTAAGGGCAGCGGGGTTGCAGCCCTGCGGGGCGCCGGCACCTCTGCTCGAAGCTGCGGTTGCTCTGGTCAGCAGAGCTGGCTGCTGCTCGCGGCTGTGCCGGCCGTGGGGCAGCTGCACGCCGAGCCAGCCGGCAGAGCGAGTTGCCCAAACCTCCCCAAGCTCGGGCACAGAGCTGGCAGCGGCCCCTGAGGGTGGGCTCTGCCCAGCATCCAGGGGTGTTGGCTCAGGACTTTGCAAAATGCAGATCGGTGCACGTGTTTTAACAGGACAGGTGCTGCTCTGCACTTTGGGGGCACTGATGAGTGGGAGCGCTGTCCTGTGGCTGTCGAAGCCAGTGCTGCCTTGCCCCCCCCTCGCCCCGCAGCTGGGAAGGGGATGTGTTTTGCCCTGCTTTACGTGCTGAGCCTGGCATCCCTGTGTGCGCTGCTAACGAAGACTGCCTAACGCGCGACTTGCTGGAGGAAGCTGCCAAGACAGAGGGGTGTTCCCTTTTCCAGCTGCTACAGGACCCTCATCACTAGCAAAGCCGCAAGAGTTTGAGAGACTCTAATCCCATTGGAAGGAAACTTGACAACTTTGACAGAGATCATCCATTAAAACTGCGTGAATTCCCGATAAATTAGCTTGTGGCATCCAATGGCCAAGAGTGCTTCTAGGAAGGCAATCGATACACAAAAAATATATATTTCATTGTTTGTTAATGGGTGAGTAGCTGAGTTTAACTGAACTGTTCTTGAAAACAGAAATGTTTCAAATTTAATTTCTAAGACAGTTTCTTCAGGCATACAGGGTTTATGTTGCGAATTTGTCATCAGAACAGCTTCTCAACAGCTTTTTTACGGCTAAAGGCACCTTAGTCATATCATTCCCCCTAAGTAAATATTTTCTTTCACAGTGCTTCATATAATGCAATGAAAATGGCTGTTGGGCAGTTCCTGACTTTCTCTGGTACCCTTGGTTTGATCTAAATCAGATCATAAAAATATTTCAGCAAACTTTTCAATATAACAACTTGTCAGGGAAGCTCATGGCATTGCTTTGAGAAAGCAGCTGTACTCCACCAGTAACTGATTCCTGGAGTAGGAATCCTGTATTTCTCACATGATCTGGTCCACTAAAATTAGCATATCTCAAACTAAACCAGGATCTGGCCAGAAAGTAATGTGATATTTCTGCAGTAACACAGTTTTGGCTTGCTTTGGGGATGGTTGAGGGCCGCGTTTGTCTCTGGGTCTCCTTAGAGAGGGGCGTCACTCACCCCAGACCGGCTCTCCATCCCCATCCATCTCTGAGCAGCGGCCCAGGACGAGCAGAGCTAAGGTAACACTGCTCCTTTCGCAGGTGGAAGATGGGCAGCCAGGAGTTCTCGTATTCTTCTCAAAGTGGTGTGTCCTCTTGCAATCCTCAAAGCAGAAAGCTTGTTGCACTTGCTGATGACCTGCTGTGCTGTTTCTAGTCCTGCGGCTGTGTGAAAGGAAATAAATCGCTGTCAGGATCTTCTGAATGAAGCCAGCGAAACTGAAAGAGAGGGGCTTCACATGTGCCCCATGGGGGGCTGTTCAAACTAAGCTCATGGGTTTCAACTGTTAAGATTTCCTTTCGGGAAGCCTTTTGTAACCGCTTTATCCCCTTTCCTGGTTACAGAGCTTGAAACAAGGCACCCAAATACTGGACTTCCAGAAGCCATGACGGCTGCTGAACTGTTCCTGCTGGGGCTCACCGTTCCTTGGTAGGAGGGTTAGACAGGGGGGTTCAGGCCATCTCAGATGAGAAAAGCCTTTCCCACAGCTGTGATGCTGGCCTTGTCTTCTGCACCAGGCAACGGTGGGGCAGCAGCGTGAGGGTTTCCAATGCACCTTTTGTGGGGTTCGGGTCTTGTCCCAGCGCGGCTGATGGCCAATATGGGTCTTCCTTTACACTGGGATAAATGACACGAATCGGATACGTCCCTGCCAGACAGGGCACAGACAAGTTTTTATCAGGCTCTAGCAAAACGTGGCCAGCCTCCAGCGCCGGGAAGGGACGGCGGGGAGGAGACCCTCTGTTCCCAGTGAGTGCCCGAGTGACACGGTGAATGCAGTTTCGGCTGGCTCCCTCACGTTTCCCAGGTCTGAACAGTCTCTATTGTTAGCTCAGGCAAAGCCACAGCTTTCCTCCCAGAATAAGAATAAAGCCCCATTAAACCCACCTAATGACAACACAAATCATGTCGAACAGAAAATGGCTTGTGTTCCCTACTTGGGCTTCTAAGGCTTGTGGGTTTTGTTCTGGTTTTCACATTCCTAATTTGCCTGTGAGAAATGCTGCCTCCCCCCAGCTCTCTCAGCACAGGCACACAATAGCTGCTTGTTTTTCGCTTGGAAGGAATTGCTGAGCCTTTAAATAGCTGGAATTGAGTTTATTTTTCTTCTGTACTTCAGCTCATTCATTACTCCAGTCATCACATCCTAAAAGTGAAGATTTCCAAGTGCACTGGAATTTCTTTTTTTTTTTTTTTTTTTTTTGTCTAAAAGACGCTCTGCACCTGAAAGTCTGTGCACCAGCCCCATGTTAGAGTCACTAACTAACCCTGCAGCAAGGTGTCAGCTTCCAACAAATTAATTCACAGGCCATTAAGCAAATATGATCTGAGTAGAGAGGACTAGCAAGAGCTGGTGGCAATGTAGCTGGCTCAAATACAGCTGTAACGTTCAATCCTTTTTTATGTCACAAAGACTTGGAAAGTTCAGTGAAAGCACTGAACAAGAACTGATGAAAGTCGAGGTGACCGGCTGAGCAGAATCTGCTCGGGCCAGCTCTTGCCTCCAGCACTCTGGTGTTGAGGGCAGAGAAATGCCTCAGGGAGCTCCCCAGATTTTGAGGATGCTCTCACCTCTGCAATTGCTTTCTTTGAGCTGCTTTGCCCTTCCAGGAGCTTTATGGCACCTGTGCGTGTTAAGAGGTTTAAAGGAAGGACAGTCTCTGTGACCCAGACCGCTGCCTCTGCCCCATGGCTCCCCACACAAACGCTTCTCCCATGAAACGGCCATGCCGTGGCACGCACACAGGGATGCCACGCTCGCCTCAGGCTTTTGGAGTCAATACCTGGTTCTCTTGGACAAGCAACAAAGAAATAAGTATCCTGGCTTTTCTACTTTGTGAGGAAAGTAAGGGCTTTTCTAATGATTGCATAGCACAATATTCCCATTTAAACAAGAAGCCGGGGTTCTGCTTGTCTCGCCACGATTATTGGAACAACAGTAAAGGTGGAAACTGCTTTTTCTGTGATAAACTCCTGGCTGTTGGGATGAGACAGCTCAGCCACCATGGGGCTGAAGGACAGACTCAAGTCCCTCCTCCCTCCTGTGGGCACAGGGACTGCGCTCAGGAGAATGCAGGCAAGCTACGGCACATTTAGCTCTGGTAGCCAGGCCAAGGAGGAGTCACAGGCAGGCAGGCTGGGATGGTGGGGGTGGCTGCTCTGCCCTGAGGTGCAGAGAGAACCCAGCCACCGAGGCCACCCAAAACAGTCGCTGTTCTTTGCCGACCGGCAGAGCTTACCTGCAAGGCTACTAAAGTCCAAAAAAAACACACCCAGAGAAAGAGCATCTCTTCAACACCTGGTTGCTGAAAGCTCGAGGCAGTCCATGATCCAATTAAATAAATATTGCCTGGTGACAGGCACTAACTGTCCTCATGCAAGTCACAGTCTTGATTATGGAAATGCTACGAGTCTGGACTCAAGCAAGCATCCAGCCGGCACTGCTGCATTTCGTGCCAGGCTAACAGTGCCAGGACACCTCAGGCATCACCCCCATGAGACAGCAGCTCTCTGCTCCCTCTCCTTGCTGATCCCTTCACAGTCTGTGGCTGGAAAAGAGCACTTTCCAGACAGGACAATTCTATGAGGATACAGCACAGGCACAGACTGATGCTAACGCTGCTCATACAGCTTTGCTCGTCAAAGCTGGCCTCAAAAGGCACAATGGTGTGTTTGCACCTAGTGCCCTTCGGCCGTTTGAAGAGAAGTAGGTAACATAACCTTAGCTCCATATCCTCCCATCTCTGCTGGGGCCTGGGAATGCTGCAGTGGTGGGAGGGGGGGCAAAGACGTCCCGAGACCCTTCCTCCCCCTGCCTTCCTCCCCCGGGGGCAGGACAAGCTGCCCAGAGGGGCAGGGGGAGGCGGGGTGAGGAGGACGGAGGGCAGCCGGGAGAGGCCCTGCACTCAGGGCCGCTGCCAGTGGGACAAGCTGAAGTTTTTGGGCCTGGGCTTGTCCACCTCACGGCAACGAGCAATGCCAGTGCGTGTGCGAATGGGGGGAAGCCCAGCAGCACGGGCTGGGAAAGGACAAGCAGGTCAGCGGTCTTCTTTCCCCTCCTCGCTGTGAGTCGTTTCTTGGTTTCCATAGAAACCAGCTGCAGCAGAAATGACGTTATGAAAAAGACTGCCAAGATGAAAGCTAACAGATGTG